GGATCGGACAGCAAAATTGCAAAAAAAAAAAAAAAAAAAGAGAGGATCTTTTAATGCCCATGCAGAGATGAGCAAGAAGCAGGTAGATTACCATGAACCATTAAGTCAATCGACTTCCTTAGCAGTGCCTGAATAGAAATGCTGCTGCCTCTCCCAGGCAGTTGATTCTAAATTCGAGTGGAGCAGGGATGAAAGGGAGTTGCAACTGTACTACTGCATCCCTGGATCTGCCCTTGCCTGTCTGAATAGCTTGGATTCCTCAAAATACTGAAAAATCTAATTCTAACTTTACTTGGCCAAGCAAACTGTTTGGTCCAGATCTTTGAATCTGTGACATCCTTCACCCATCATTGAGCCCTAGGAGCAAACCTAAGTATCCATTTCAGAGCAGGATTCTATGCCACTTAAAACTGAGTACATAGGCTGTGAAAACAGCCTGTAACAAGTGTCCTGTATTGCAGTTGTTCTTTTCTTCATTAACTTAATGTTCTGTTGCTTAAAGTCCTGTCTGTTAGGCCACCAGCTTTACACTTTTGTGATTATCAGATGAACTAGGAGAACATGTGTATGTGCATTTTTATTTTATGTTTTTGGTTTCCCTTACTGTCTCTCTAAAGGAAGAGAAGAAACCACCCCCTCCTGTGCCAAAGAAGCCTGCCAAGCCCAAAACTGCACTGAACCGGGACAAAGCTTCTGACTCTGTGGATAAACAGCGCCAGGAGGCTCGCAAACGTCTCATGGCAGCTAAGCGAGCTGCCTCTGTCCGGCAGAACTCCGCCACAGAGAGTGCGGACAGCATCGAGATCTACGTCCCAGAGGCACAGACCCGCCTTTGAGCCCAGGGGGAGAGGAAAAAAAACACGTGGTCTTTAAGTCATTAAAAAAGGGGGGGAAAAGGTTCTCTCTAAACTTAGTATGATTTATTCAGTCTAGAGACGATGAGCCTACCTTAAAGGGCTCTACTTCAGCTTTTTTTTTCCTGTCAGCTTTAAGTAATGAAGAGTTTAAAAAAAAAAAAAAA